TAAAATCTACGAGAGAGTCCTATTTTGTGAGAACTGTTCATTAGTGCATGCTGGTACCTGGAACAGCTCATGGTACACTATAGGTGCTTGATAAATACTTGCTTCATGAATAAATGTTGAAAGCACTTATTTCTGATCTCAGTGTATTTTCTCCTTTCTGGCAAATGCCTTCCTTTTCCTTTCCAGGGAAGCAGAATGGCCACCCACCCCTAGGATTTCTAGGATCATTCTTCTCTTAGTTCTTGTCTTTTCTAACTAGTGGTGAGGGCAGAGGTGATTGAAAACCCTGATCCTCTAGGGCACAGCTCTCAGTAAGTATTTTCTGTGTGGATCAATGTACCTAGAGGTTGCTACATGCCAGTTAGTTTCTTGAATGGCCCTTTATCCTTCAGGAGGGACGTCACAGTACCCCACATTGGAAAGATCCAGCAAAACAGGTCCCCTTCTCAATTCCTCTCTAACTGGCCCTTGGTAGCTGAGGACTTGGGGTCGGGAGTGAGGCTCATTAGCTGGGCTTTCCCAGAGGAAGGCTGGCTCAAGGAGCAAGTGAGGGTTGCACTGTTCTGCTTACTAGGCTCCAGGCTGGGTCTGCCAGGGGTGATAAAGGCAGGTGTTAAATTCTGCATGTTCATATTTCAGCAGCTCAGGGAACAAGCCAAGTGGCCCTTTCAGGGCCTCTGAGAGTTTTTCCAAGATCTAGGATGCAAAAGGAAATCCCAAAAAACCAGAATGGTGGAGGATTGAGAGGCATATCACTTGCCCAGGAAAGCACCCTAGGGAGGCGTGGAAATATGTGNGAGGATTGAGAGGCATATCACTTGCCCAGGAAAGCACCCTAGGGAGGCGTGGAAATATGTGTATTTCTTTCCATCTAGTTAAACTGGACCTCCTGGCCAGGGATGATGATAATGATGGAAACACTCAGAAGCGTATGCACAGTGTTCAGCCCCAAAGCTCAACAGTCGTCTGTGGTGCCCTGTTTCCATCACCTGCCACAGTCAGACCACCACAAAATCTATTTTTTTTAACCTGTAAAATGATCTCAAATCCATCACATCTCTCTGTCCCCCCTGCCACCATTCTACTTCAAACCACGACCATCTCTCACTGGGATTGTCGTGGCTTCCTAAGTGGCTTCTCTGCTTCTATTCCTACCAGCTCTCCAGCCTCCTCTCCCCTGAGTGGCTAGAGTGACCCTGTAAATTCCTAAATCCAATCATTATTCTCTTGTTGAGACCTCCCAGTGGCTTCCTATTGGGCTTGCATTAAAATCTGAATTCCTCACCCCACAGGATCTGGCTCCAGCTCTCCTAACTGACCTCTGTTCATACCACTCTCCCCTTCACTCACCACCTTGCAGCACCCCCGATTTTCCATCAGTTCCTCAAACATGCCAAGCTCATTACTGCCTCAGGGTCTTTGCACATACAGACTTCCCTGCCTGGATCACTCTGCCCCATGCCCATCACATGGCCGGCTCCATGGCATCATTTAATCTCTGCCCAGATAGCACATCCTCAGAGAAGTCTTCCTTGACCACACTGAGGCCTGAGGATAGGAGGAAACTAGCCATGCACACTAGCAGGAAAAGGGCCAGCACGTGCAAATATTCTCTGCATGGATTATGGCACCCGTTCCACCTGGGCACGCATGAGCGTGTGCACATACATGCAAACAACATATGTATACATACTCCTCCATTAAAAGAAAGTTATCTGATCCCTGTACTGGCCAACTGCAAAAAATTAAAATAAAAAAGAAAGTCATCTGACCTTAAGTCCTCCAGGACCATTTTCCTATCAGATCAGACCAGTGGCACCATCTGTTCTCAAGATCTGTTCATCATCTGGCCTTGGGGTCATCATCATGCCCAGGGCTCTCAGGACTGTGCAGGGGCCCACCTGTTTCCCTCAATCACCCTCTCCACCTGCAGGTTTGTCATGCTGAGCCTGGAGTTTGACTACATGTGTCAGTATGACTATGTGGAGGTCCGTGATGGAGACAACAGCGACGGCCAGATTATCAAGCGTTTCTGTGGCAATGAGCGGCCAGCTCCCATCAGGAGCACTGGTTCCTCACTCCATGTGCTCTTCCATTCTGATGGCTCCAAGAATTTTGATGGCTTCCACGCCATTTTTGAAGAGATCACAGGTAAAGGCCATGAAGGCAAATGTAGCAGTTTATGGCTCGCTCCAGACAAATATCTCCTTTCTGTGTACCTCCCTTTCTCCTTGCTCAGCCTTATTGACACCTAGCATGCCAGGTTCTCAGAAGCAACCTATGCTGAGAAAAAAGAGAGAAACAGCAAGGTATGTTTCAGAAAAGCTCACCCAGAACCAGAATTCAGAATTATTATCTCCCTTATACAGATGAGGTGGCTGAAGCACAGAGAGGCTGGATAATTTGTTCAAGGTCACACTACTAAGGGGCAGAACCAGGGATTTGTCCTCAAGCAGTTTGGCTCTAGAGCTCACACAAGCGGGCCTCTCATGATTAAGAGCATTAGCTTTGGATCCCTGGCAGATCATGCTGTGTGACCTTGGGTAAGTTCTTCTACCTCTCTGGGCCTCAGTTTCCTAATCAGTGGTAAGGGAATAACAATATTCTACTCCAATAAGGAGGCTCTGGGAGGCAGAATACATGAAGAGCTTAGCACAGTGACTAGTACATAGCAAGCACTCCACGGCTGCCCACCCCCAGGAGTGCCCTTAGCCTCTATTTGCTGTCTGTAAAACAGGTATTAAGTGTCTACGATGGCAAATGCCATTTACTCGTGAGTAACTCTGAGCCAGACTTAACTCCTGCCCTGGTCCTATTAGAAAGTAGGATTTGACCAAAGTTAACAAAATGCTCAATCCTCAGGAATCACTCCAGCTCTCATTGTTCTGGGATTGGATTGAGTCAGGTTTTACAAAATAAGCTCAGGCTTGAAGTCTGATTTTTTTTTTTTTTAAAACTACCGGATTGAAAAAAGAAAAGCCACCAAACTTGTAATGGCATTCTGATCATTAAATCTGCCTTAGGCATAAAGTATGTTATGAATGTCTTAGGAAAGGAGGTGGGTGGCCATGGAGAATCAGTGTTTCTTCAGTCCCGTCCTTTCAGCAAGACCAGCAGATCTCGCCCCACAACCCACTCTTCCCTTAGAGTGTTGCCTACAGGAGCTCCCAGCAGTTGCCCTGCTATCTGATTGCCTCCTGCTTCCCATGCAGCGCAGGTGGAGCTGTGTAGGGCCTCAGAGGGGCCTGGGAGTTCTCCCTGCTCTGCTGCTCGGTGCTCAGCCTGTGGCTGTATCCTTGTCCCTTGGTGATACCCTGTGGGCTCAGGATGAGCATGGTCCCATGTGAGATGCCCTGTGGGTACTTAGGCCAGTTAGCAAGAGCTGCTTGTTGGGGAAGCCAGCTGGGAGTGAGAGCAGCTCTCCAGCTTGTGACCCTGTGACTGTGGGAGGGTCAGGAGAGTTCCTCTTCTGCAATGGGCTGCCCAACCTCCCCTGGAGAACCTTGGGAAACAGTGGCTTGCAATGCCAAATAGACAGTGCTACTTCTCTTTCCTCAAGCACCCTGTTCCTCCGCTTATACTCAAGTTATTCCCTCTGGCTAAGGTCACCTCTCCCAAACCTGAGCAACAAAGCCCATCCTTTGGTGTCCCTATCACATTCTTCCTCTTCTGCTAAACCTTTTTTTTTTGCTCCAATGAGCTATGACTTCACCCTTTTTTGAACGTCTTGCCGCACTTTCTCTTTTTTCTTCATGATACACTTACTGTATTATGCTTCAGATTGTGGTCATTTCATACTTTTCTTCAAATAGCTTTGATCTGGTAGATAGGATGTCCTGTTCATTTTTGTCTCTCTCCAGCACCTTCCACAAAGCAAACACTCAATACAGATTTGTTGAACTGAGCCAAGAGATGTATTTTTATATTGGAGTAAATGAATGTAGGATTGACAGATAACATACAGGCCAGTGTTTTCCAAAGTGTTTTCTGTAGAAAAATAGTCCCCAGGATGCTTTGTAAAATGTATCAAATAAGCTTGGCTGAATATTATGTGTATTCTTAGAAATTTGCAGTGCATATTAGGGCATGGAACTGAGAAGTTCTGCAGTAAAGAAATCTGGTTAATTACCATTTAATGCCAGTAGCATTCCCCAGCATATGTGAGCCCAGAACCCTTATTTAATTGAACACATATCAACATCTCAAGGAACTAATGTTTACAGAATGTATGTTTGGAAATTCTTGAATACACCTTCAACAGTGTCATAAAGATCATCTTCCAGTGGCTTTCCCCCAGTACTAGGATGCTAAGCTTTTTTGAAAAAGATGATCTAAACCTACCCGAGGATGCCTCTCTTCCCTGGAGTCCCTGTGACAGAGACACAAGCATGATCTGCTTTCATCTGTAGCAGGCTCCTGTTTGTGTTTGCTTTATGCTCCTCAGACTATAGAAATCTCGAGTGTGCTTCTGGGGCCTTCAAAAACATCAAATAATATCAGCAACATTTGACATTTAACAAGTACCTGTTTTAGGCATTCTCAAATATTGGTAACATGAATCTAGTAACAGGAATAAAAAAATTTCAAGAAGACTTTAATGGACAAGTTAAAGACTTTGCTCAAGTTGCCAGGCTTGACGAAACTGGCTGGCCATGCAGAGGTGCTGAGGGATGCCTTTTCTCTTACAGCATGCTCCTCATCCCCGTGTTTCCATGATGGCACGTGCCTCCTTGACAAAGCTGGATCTTACAAGTGTGCCTGCCTGGCAGGCTATACTGGGCAGCACTGTGAAAATCGTGAGTGTGTCTCCTGGGTGGGAGTGAGGGTATCATGTGGGCTGGCTTGGAGAGGGCTTTGGGAGCTTGCATGGCCTGTTGTTTCATGGTGTCTAGGATGGCCTGTCCAAGATGGTGCATGGTATGGGCACTCCCACTGAGTGGTTCTCAGAAGGACAGGCCTGCTTCTGAGTCAAGTTGTCTGGAATTACTCAG